AAGACAGCATCTTCACTCTCATATTTAGTACAGTATTTCATCCTGTTTATTTAGGAGTAGAAACATATTCAGTAAAGCTCAGGAATTACTTGGATATTTTTATTTTGTTGTGGTAAAGGAAATGAGCTCTGTTTCGACTGGCTGGTCTTGAACTCATAGAGATCCATCTGCCTCTGTCTCCTGAGTCATGGGACTAAAGGTATATGCCACCACTTCTGGGCCTTAAGGCTGTGGCTGACTTTGCATTCTGACCTCTGGGAAAGCTTTATTATATCATAAACAATATGTCACCACAGATGGATTTCCAGGTTCTGGTTGCTGTTGGAAAATCTGGCAGAGCAAGCTGGTGGCTGGACTAGACATCCCTGGGAATGGTTATAATTATCACTGGGATTTGTATAAGGTTTTTGGCATTCATTTTAATCATCATCAGTTTTTGTCTATGTCTAAACTTACCATTAAAATAACTATAATATAAATATGTTACTCAAACTGAAAACAATAGGCTTTCCTTAGATTTTAAGTTGATAGCCACATGAGAGAAAGATTTGTCTTTTACTAGTGATTTTCCACTTAATAGAATTTTATCTCCTCCTTTTTATTTCTTGTTTCTTTTAAATTTTGTACAATTTCCTCACATTAAAAATGTGATTAATATGTAAGGAAACTAAAATGATATTTTAGCTTCTAAAGTTTACAATGTACAATTGTAAATACATTACCTAGGTATGTGTCCTTCCTCTGAAATTTCTAATATTTTGGTGGTAGAAAATTTCTAATATTTTGGTGGTAGAAAAATAGGAAAAAGAATGTTTAACCTAATTTCAACATTGTTAAGAATTAGAACTTTATATTATCAATAATAATCATATCCTGGATCAACATCATAGCTTTGGGGGAGGGAAGCCTTTTGTGCTTTTAAAATTCAGTTTTTAATTTTTAATCATTTTCCTGAGTACAAAAGTATTTGGTAAAAAAAATAAAAAAGATGTTTTATGACAACCTAAATGTGGGTTCATGAAACCAATAAGCAAACGAAACATCAAGGACAATAAAGCAATGGTTTAGGTTGATGACAGATGTTGTTGGATTTTCCTGCAGCAGCCGTTTGGCCCCAAATATAAACACACAGATGCCTTATTAATTATAAAACTGTTGGCTGGTGACTATGGCTTCTTATTGGCTAGCTCTGTCTTAATTACTAACCCATTTCTAGTAATCTAAATGTTTCAATGTGGTCTTGTCTTTCCGGAGAAGGCCCTAGATCTCTAACTCCTTTGGTGGCTATGTGTTGTCTCTAATCCCTCTCTTCGCCAGAATTCTCTTTGTCTCCTAGTCCCATCAGTCTTCCTACCTTATTGGCCAATGGTGTTTTATTCATCAACCAGTAAGAGAAACATATATACAGAAGGACATCCCCCATCAGTCAGAGTCATTTTTCATTGTGAAATTTGAAGAAGAAAGCCTTTGTTTGGGTTGAATAGAAGCAGAGAGTTGGCAGGATGGCAAATTGGTCAGGGAGCATGGATAGCAAAGTTAGAGCACAAATGAAATATCAATGAGCTGGTGATTGAATAAGTTGTAGGAAACATCCCTGTCTTCTGAAATGTCCTAATTTACTTCTATAACACCCAAAAGAAAAAGAAAACACACACACACACACCAACATTATAAAGAGAAATACAAAGGGAAAAGGAAAACAAGTATCCAGTTAGAATTATTTACATTTATATATGTAAATGTATTTGCACATATATTTGGAGCTTGTATGTCTTAAAATATTAATAATAATTTTTAATGTTTGTTATACTTTATTTGCTGTGTGCATGAGTGTGTGCACCCACCAGTAATACACACACACACACACACACACACACACACACACACACACACATCACATCACAGTGTATTCTCAGAGGTCAGAGGATATCTTGATGGAGCTGGTTCTTGCACCTGTCCAGGAAATCTAACTCTGGTTTGAGCGAAAATGCTTTTAGCTCGTCAGGCATCTTGTTGGCATAAATATCAAAAACTTCCTTAGTTTCTGAAGGTGCTATGTAATATGCTGGGAGAAAAAGATCAAAAGCCTCAAGTATCAACTCTATAAACACAATACCAACTTCTCAGGCAACATTCTTCTACCTGCATAATAGTGGTATAAATGTAATGGGGATAACCAACTGCTCTATGATTGAATTCAGGGTCTTACACAGTAGGGAATTCGTGTCTGGTATTGTAACCTTAATCAAAAACCCAAGGCTGGTGAGGTCATAGGACCTAAAAGTAAACTTTCTATAGTTTTTCTGCTAAATTTAAATAGTATAAAACTGCCTTCTCAATATCTGTGTTTATACCCATAGATAAATGCTACTCTCTGAATAAGAGATAGTTGAGGCCTCATCTGTATGCAAGACATTGATATCACTGTTCAAGGGCCAACGAAGAGAAGGCAGAAAGAAAGTGAGGGCAGCAAAATACAGTCTTCTAGGTATAGCACAGACATGGCAATCACAAACTCATAGCAGCTGCAGAGTTGCCTATACTGATTCAGAACAATACAGATGCCTCAAAGGTTAGCCGTGGATTGAGAGGCTGAGGAAGTCTAATGCATCACCACTCAACCATTGACTACAGGTAGGTTCTAGGAGAGAAGTCATTGATTTCAGCACCAATTGGAGGGCACCAACAACCTTGAATAGACTCAGTAGAAACAACCAAGCAAGCAAAAATCCTAACAACAACCAACCAGGAAAGATGTGAATGTGGTAACTTGTAGGGAAAGGGAGAGGGCATGATGGGAGTTGGGGGTGGGGAGAAGCAGAGAATATGATCAAACAGAATATATTACATACATGTAGGAAATTGTCAACACATTCAATTAATAAAAAGAGACACAAAGAAGGACTTCCTCAATAAAAACATGAATGATTCAAGATAAAGTTTGTTTCTTCTGTAGGAACTATTACTAAATATCAATATCATCATACATACATGCTTTCTTTTTTTTTTTAAAGTAACCAATGGGAAGATTTCTGTGTACACATATATTCAGGACAATGATGCCTGCGTATTACATGTTTTCTTAACAATACACCTTAAATATATTTAGCCAACGTGGAATTTGGTATGAGTATTATAGAGCAATTTTACAAACTGGGTTAGTGTTACTCATTGAGAAGGGAGTTGGGAGCTGCTTAGAAGCAAAACTTTAAGTGACACTGATGCTTGGAAAGCTATTGGTTCAATCATTTTTCAGGTAGCTTTTAAACTTTGCAGACACAAACTCGTCTACTTTCTGTCTTCATGACGGTTTCATCACTGAGTTCAGAATCAAAATCCTCCTTTTTGTTTTCAGGGTAGTTGGGGTTCCTGCTTTAGGATTCTTAGTCTCACCAGTAAAAGTAGAGTCAGAGAAAGTGCTAAGACAGTCTTTATTAGAGTTTGAAGGTGAATCAGTTGGGCAGGCAAGCTGAAAATACCAATAGCCACAAGACATAGAGGAGATGGAGAGAAAGTGTTGACCTTTTTATTTAAATTTTTTATTTTACATACCAATCCTAGCTCCTCTTCCTTCCCCTTCTCCCACCCCCACTCCTCAGAAGAGGGTAAGGCCTTCCCTGGGGAGTCAGCAAAGTCTGGCATATCAAGTTGAAGCAGAACCAAACCTCTCCCCCATGTATCAAGGTTGAGCAAGGTATCCTATGATAAGGAGAGGAATTCCAGTGTTAGGGAGGTCATGCTTGGAACTGAGGATCCAGAGAGGATGTGGGTTCAGAAGTCACCTGATTCTAGGCTTGTCTGTCCCCAGGCAAAGAACTGTAACAGAGATACCTTATTCGATATGGAAGTAGAGATGGTTTATTAATAAAGGGTATCAAGATGAGAGGGGTCTGGTGAGTAGAGGAAGGAACCCATTACCAAACTCCAACCTCGCCAATTTGGGTTTGCTTTTGCCTCACAGCTCCAGGTGTGAAAGGATGTCCACTTTTCTGCAAACTGGCTTCTTTCACGTTAATCTTTATATTTGAATCTCTACTGTTTAATCTGCCACATTTCTACAAAGTGTAGACAATAAGTGTGTGTATTTCATGTGATTCCAGAGGTTACTTCCACTAATGCCTGTTGTGCGTAGCCCTGTAACTGCTGTGGGGGACATGGATGTTCTGGGAGTGGGAAAACCATCACTGCATTTAGAAACAAGGATGCATCCAGTGCCTGGCTTCCTGTGTTTGTTGCAGTCTGTAACATAAGCAGGCAAGGACTGCTGAAGGCTTCAGCTGCCTTAGCTGGCTGTCCTGTTACTCGAGTTTAGCCTGATTTCATGCGATGGAATGGAGTGAACACCGTGGCTCCTGGCTGTCAAGAGTGAAAAATAGTTGGAAATTAGACAAACAGCTTCATTGCTGAAATTGTTTCCGGGCTAAAAGTTCTTCCAACAGCTGTTTGTTTTGGCTGTTGACCTGCTTTTTTTTTTTTCCCCTAGTTATTTCGGAAGTCAGGAAGAACTCCTAGCTATTGTGATCTTTTGGCTAGATTGAAACTAGACTGAAGGGATTTTCCTTTGTCCTCCCGTCCCACCCCTTAACCCCACCTCCCTCACCTCTCTCCTCTGAAAAAGATCACACTCAGGCTGCTGTAGTGAAAAGAACATAGCTGAGAACTCTATAATCCTATAGAAAGGGATTCGCAGCATTTATTTTTTATTGTTCAGGCACTACTTACTGAACAGGACAGTGAGAGAGAGAGAAAGATTATGAATGTGAAATATGAACTAGCAACACTAATGCTCAGATAATGCAAAATTTTGTCTCTTCCTAAAAAGTTAGTTTGGAAGTTACTGTCTTTCTTCTCTCTCTCTCTCTCTCTCTCTCTCTCTCTCTCTCTCTCTCTCTCACTCACTCTCACTCTCTCTCTTGTTGTGTTTAAAGTCTTTTAAAGTCTTTTTTTTTTCTGCTGGAAATACTAAAACTGGAGTCTACCAGACTGAGGTTGGGAGCGTTTTCTTTGGCAAGGCAAAGATACTTTTATAGAAGCCATGCCTGTCCTTGGGGTTGCCTCAAAGCTGAGACAGCCAGCTGTTGGGTCAAAGCCTGTTCACACTGCTCTTCCGATACCAAATCTTGGCATCAGTGTGTCACAGCGCTGTTCTTCAAGACCTTTGGAATTCGCTACACCGGAGCACTTGATGCTTTCTTGTCAGCTCACATTAAAATCAACCTGTGAGTTTGGAGAGAAGAGAGCCCTGCAGAGAGCAGCCAAGGAGAAAGAAGACAGCAAGGTTGGTAACTGAAGGTTGCTGCAGGCTTGAAGAGCTCAAAGACAAATTTCATTTCAGGTGCACCATGACATTTGTGCGAGGGTGGCTCTTAGAGGAATACTGGTATAAGTAGGTGTAGACACAAGAGAGACTGAGCATTTACTTGCAGAATGTATTTTATCTCATGGCTGCAAAAGTCATGAATGAATTCTGTATATACATACATACATACATACATACATACATACATACATACCAGTATACTTATTGTTGGAATGCTTATTTTCATATTAATGTAGTTACTCCTAGATAGTGCCCTGTTGTTGACATTCATAACTAATCAGAAATAGAAAGGGAGCTCAGTTTCATATATTTTTACCTGTAAGAGGAGATCACTGAATAAAAATCCCATGCAGATGCCGTCCCTTTTGTTACTTGCATGGCTTGAACGTTTGTGCACTAGCTGCTTAATTTATTGTAATGGGAAGAAAATCAAGCATGTCCTTCTTACTGCACATAGGTCTGGATCTCTGTTTGTAAATTGAAAACCTTCTGTCTTTCATACTGCTAACATCCCCTCCTTCAGCTATCTGCTTGCTGCTATTTTGTGAGCTCTTGGTTGCTGAGCCTTCTTGAGTTGTTTACTCCAGAGATGGAGTGCTTGAACAACCCCACAGCTGAGATCCTTTGGTTGGGATGCATCTAAACCAGGAATTCTCAGCCTATAATTCTGATGCCTTTGGGAGGTCAAAGGAAACTTCACAGGGGCCACTGAAGACCATGGGAAAGCACAGTTAGTTGCACTGCAATTTGTAACAGTAGCAAAGTTCCAATTGTAAAGTAGCAATGCAATAATTTTATGGTTGAGGATCTCTACAACACCAGGAACTGTATTAAGGAGCCTCAGCTTTAGGAAGGTTGAGAGCCAGTGGTGTAAACTTCTTAAGAATCCATCTTTTTCTAAACTTTCCAAGTTCACCATCTCATCTCAGACTTGTAGGAAATAATGGTATTTTACTTGCTTATAAACAAATGAAAGCTAAAAAGTAATTCAGGGTGCCTTATATGTATAAACTAATTCTGTAAGTACAAAGGAAAGCTAGTCCTTTTTATCTAGAATGCCTGTTTGATCCACCTTCTGTTCAGGTTTTTAAACTTGTCCCGGATGTACCTTTCTCCATAAAGTCTTTGGGCACTTTACATTTACTGTACTGTGATATTTTGTTGTCTATAGAATGGCTACAGTGTCTATATTTGTCATTTCATGTTTAATTATACATAGAATATGTAATATTTCTATTCTAACTAGTGAAAACATATGGAAATCAGGAACTGTATTAATTCTGTACTGAGGCATGTTCTCACTCTGTCCCAGGTTTCACATACATTTGAAACAGTAATTTGGTAATATATATGTAGAATAAATGAATCAATGAATGAATAAAATTATTATTACAAGAAAAGTCAGTTAAAATCATTGATTTGATCAGGTAGTCTTGACTCATGCCCTTAATCCCAGTACTCTGAGAAGTAGAGGCAGGTGGATTTCTGTGAGTACTTGGTGAGCCTGACCTACAAACTAAGAGCTACACAGAGAAACTCTGTGTGGAAAAACAAAACAAATGATCAGTGATCTCTGTGTGTCATTTCTTCTATATGAAAAGGAGATTTTAAGTAGCTGTAACAAAGAATTATTCAAGTACAAAATTCAATAAAATCATTACTTTGTTATTGACTTAGATTTCTCAGTGCAATGTCAAAATTCTGAGTAACATTGGGAAAATGTAAGATATTAGTAAAATACAGAATTTTATCTGAAAATATTTCAGAGTGAATATCACACAACTTTATTATAGTTTATGCTCACTGAATGTTGTCTGGATTCAATAGAAAATCAGATAGATGATAGATAATTTATTGATAATAGATATATAGTTGGTAGGTAAATAAATAAATAGATAGGTAAATAGATATACGGATATATCTATCTAGAGCTATTTTCTCTGTGGAATGTGACTATTACCTTGTATTTTTACTCGAACTTCTACTGTGCTAAATGACCTTCATTTAAGACTTTGCTACTGTAACTGATTTCTATAGAATTTTGATGGATTACTTTGTTCAGTAAGTGTAAAGTAAGTGTGATATTTCAATTAAACTCCATGGCATAAAAAGTCATTGGAATAATTATATTTGTAGGGATAATTTTATCATGCCTCTTAACAGATTTAAAATTGAATTCCAAACAAATATGAAGAGTGCTTTATCATCATTTAAAAATATTTCTATGTGTTATAAGGAAATATATTTATGATAGTTTATATTAAAGAACTAGTGAAAATAGCAGAAATGATCAAGGTAGTTATATTAACCATAGTTAGACTTGGTTATGTACCAGGAAATTCAATATCATACTATCATTGAACAATACTAGGATAATGTTGCTTCTTGTTCAGGTGATAAAATCTAGAGATATATGGTGATGTCTGGACATTGTCAGAGAGCTTGAACCTCTCCACTTCGCCTGTCTTCCTCCATTAGTGGCTCCAAAGTCTCTGTCTTAAGTGGGTTATAGAGTTCTATTCTGGTTAAAAGACATAACTCATTTCATTAAGGGTTTACGACATCCTGTTGCCCTAGTTAGAGTTCTACAACCTTACCTAGCATTGGTAGGAACTGGAAAATGCCGTGTTTATTCTAAGCAGCTATGTGCCCATCTAAAAATTATGGGTTTCATTTCTAAGAGAGGCAAACCCTGGAGAGTAACCACAATACATGGTGGTCATTAAAAAAGCATTTATGTGGAGTATGCAGCCACTCACTGCACCCAACAGTGTTGTAGTCTGGTTTGAGAGAACAATCCTCTGACAATATCAGAAATGTTTTCAGTTCAACACACTTTCTTCTTGTTTTTCATTAAAATAAATACTGTCAGCACAGAGCACAGGCCTTTAATCCCTGCACTTGGGAGGCAGAGCAGGTCTCTGGAAATTCAACGCTTACCGGTCTACAAATTGAATGCCAGGACAGTCAGGACTGTTAAACAGAGAAACCCTGTCTTAAAAAAAAAAAAATTGCTGTCCACCTATTCATCCATTCTTTAACCCTGATGTGTTGGTCCGATAATTTACTTTGTCTTTTGATATAGCATGTCTTGTAAAATGTTGGAAATTTTATTTCTGTTTTGTATTTTAAATTTGTACCTGTCTATATATGCTTACCCTTGGGCATTTATTTTGTATTAGTTATTACAATGATTACAAATTCCTTTCCTCCCATGTCTCTTCACCATCTCCCAAGAAGCTTAATCATTCAAAAGGGTCTTCCTCCCACATTGAAGTTTCTTTATCAGGAATGACATCCTGCCTCTTGTTCTTACATGAGACCCCATCCATCTGGGTGTCTTGCTCCTTGCTCTTTTTGTACAACTTAGCTCACCTATCTTTAAACAAATCACATTTTTAAAATAATACTTGCTTTTAGGTTTTGAGATAAACACAATTACATTTCCCCCTTCCCTTTCTTCCTCCAATCTCTACATGTACACTCTTTGCTCTCTCTCTATCTCACTCTCTCTCTCTCTCTCTCTTTTCCAACTTTATGGCCTCTTTTTTCCTTAATTATTAGATTTCTGTTTCATATTTTGAATTTTTCCTAGACCACATATATTTATCTATGTATGTATCTGTCGATTGATATAGATAAATAATTGTAGATATGTTGTTATGTATACACACACAAATTAGTTTTTTATAGTCCATACTATGTATGGAGTGAAGGGCTCATGTTTTCCTTTGCTGTTCCTGATTTCTTACCTAATCTGAATTTTCTAACCTCTCTCTTCATATGCATTTGATTTTTGACTCTTACTGGGCTCTTGCATCAACACATAGCAAGATATCCTTAGGGGGGAGCCTTTGCTTGAGATTCTTGAAGTTAAATTTCAGAAAGAAACCTTTGACTCTTTATTATTTCTCCATAGAGTAATTTCTGTATGTTTTCTAGGCTTACCATAGTCTACAAATATCACTATGTTTACCACTCATTCCAAATGTCAAAGACATGCTTTAAAATACACATTATTGAAGTAAAACTAGAGAGAAATAATGTTCCTCTGAGAAGATGTAATGTAGCTTGAGGGAATTAGTTCTTTGGCCCTTTAATAGGAATCTACTGCTCAGAGTTTACTCAATGTTTCTAAGGATGGTCATAGGAGAAATTATTCCTCATTTTACAAAGTATTAGACTTAATGCTTTGAAACAAAAGACATTCAAGTGCATTATTTTTGATGAGACACTTCAGTTAGTTATTTTAAACTTTGGTTCACATACATACATGCATGCATGCATACATATATACATACAACACTTTGAGTACCCCCCCAATGAAACAAATGAAGACTGAGAAACTTGTTTCAGTGGCTTTTGTTTTGTTTCTGTGACAAGGCCTCACTCTGTAGCCCAGGCTAACCTGTAACTTGTTGTGTAGTTCAGGATGGTATCAGACTCAAAGGAATCCTCTTGCCCCAGTGATTTGAGGGCTGAGGTTACATCTATGAGTCATCATGCCCTTATTCTCATATTGAAAAATCAACTACAATATTAATGCAGCCAAACAAATGCAAATTAATGAGTAGTGATACTAATAAGGGGAATTGTTTTGTAGATTTTGTAGATCTTTATAAGGCTCTAAGAATTCTTACGTGGAAAAGAAATAGTGGGCATTTAATGGGCAGGTAGGACTTGGATACAGTGGAGAAAAAAAAAAAAAAAACAAGTTTTAGTGAAACAGTTGTGCAGAATGGCCAGTGAATAAAATACTATAATCGAAAGAAATTATTTATGGGAAGTAGCAGAATTGGATCAGTGAAGACTGAGCTTGTTTGTTTTTCATTTCTTCCGTTCTTCCTTTCTTTCTTTTTTCAGGAAAGCCTTCTTCTCTGTGTAGCCCTTGCTTTCCTGGAACTCACTTTGTAGACCAGGCTACCCTTGAACTGAGAGGTCCACCTGCCTTTACCTCC